GGGCACAAGCAATCTTCAGAAGTAAAGTGAACCTGGAAATGAATAGTTACTGAGGTAGAGCAGAAAAGATAAAGATAGGTTGAAAAGAGTCAAGGAAAACTATAATTTTAAAATCGAACTTTTAAGAAAAACTGCAGCTTCAGACACAAAAGTTACTCATGCCTTTTCAAGAAACTTACTGAAAAAAATTTCCTAAGGGTCTGGAGGACACAAAAAGACCACAACTTTGGAACCATGCCTTTCACAGGAAAATTGCCCTTTCTGCTACACACTTCCATTCTCAAGGAAACAATGTACTCAGCAGACAACACACCTCTCAATTTAAAATGCATGCAAACAATTTGTATTCTAACCTAGTCCACCAGAATGGGTAAATTGGTACACAGGAGCAACAAACATCCTTGACCTTGACTTAAAGACACCTCCAACACCACATAAATACCTCCACCTAATATCATAGTATACCTCTCTCTTTAGAGCCCACACTCTATTCTCTGTGTGCGTACTTTTAAAATCTGCCTAATAAACTTCTTCATTCTTCTCACTAATGTATCTTGAAAATTCTTCTTCTATGACAGAAGTCAGAGAACATGACAACCCTTGGTGGAGTAAATTGAGGTCAACAACTCCTCTTTGGGGGGATATCCTCAAACCCCATTCAATGATAGTTCCTACATCAATAATTGGATAGACTGAGCTCTTATTCTGCTTTTTATGTCGGAGGTTTTGCTCCATTCTATTGTTTACCTCCCCCAGTCCCATCTTTCTCTGCCACTCAAACTACAAGACAAAAAAATGACAATGTTCAGGTATTCAAGTGGACAAATAGACTAACTCATACAGACAGGGAATGCCCTTAGTTACAAATCCTTATGGGGAGGGATTGCTGTTGAACCATATCCTGTATTAACCCCATGCACCTGGCCCATAATGTGGTCACAATGAAATAACATGACTATGAAGACAGGCTTACCTGCTCATTTGGAGAACATAGCACATTATAGGCTATATAATTTAAGGAAAATACCCATTCATTTATCATTCAAAAATACTTAACATATTGTATCTTAGTTATTGTTCTAAATACTGACTATACAGAAAGTAAATAAGATACAGAGGGTACATGGGTAAATTGATCTCATGTACCACAGAAGCTAGAATGGTTTATGCAAAACAATGGAAAAAAAAAACACTCCTACCTTGTTAGAGACGAAAATAAAGGTGGAAAAATCCTTTTAAAACAAAAGTAATTTCTTTAGCTGGTAAAGGCAGAAATAAATCCAGAATGAAATTTAAGATCACTAACCATGGTTCTTCTTCTCTAAACACATTATAGATTTAGGTCATTCTTAGAAGAAAGGAAATTGTGAAATCTCTTTAAAGATATAAAAAGTGGTTCATTGAATCATGGTTACATTAATATATCTGAGAGAGATGTGATACACAGAATAGTCTTATGCAGGTTTACTACTCCTTTATACAATGCAAAACTTGTAAGAAATAATAGGATAATGGAAAAATAACTAGATCTTCTTTATAAAAGTTCTACTTATGATGTGCCAATACCAGATTATGTATTTTGGAGGAAGGTTACTAATAGAATAAATGAGCCATATTGTTATTTCAAGAAATTTTATATTAAATGGACTGCTTTTAGCATATTCCAAGGTGTAATTTGAAATAATGGCTCATCCAGTAGTGTAGTATAATGAAGATTTTTGGCAAACAGTCTCTGTTTCAGGACTCATTAAGAAGGTAGTTATAATTCTGTGCTCACCAAGGAAATAAGAAAGAAGCATCTGGAGTATAGTGTCTTTGGTCTACTTCTGTATCTAACTCTTTTCAAATCCCCTTCATTATATTATCTAATTCCAAAATGTGACCTTGTCACTTAAATGCTGACATTTTATAAATATCTACAGTATAAGACTCACTATTTCTCCATTGTAATATTTTATTCCATCTTCAAACTCTCTCTTCATGTACACTACACTGCAGATTCCTTGAGGGAAAATACTTATGTGAATTATCTGCATGTATATACCCACTGTCTGAAACACTACACACTCAAGAACTAACTCTGACTTAGGGCCTTTCTTCTAAGCCTTAACTTATACTACTTCCATTAGAACGTCCTCCTCTTCCAACCTACTCCCTTCATGAGCTCCTACTCGTTTTCTCACCATTCAGTTAAAGCACCTCTTTGATGGAACCTTTCCAGAATCCTTCAGAAGTAACCACTGCTTCCCTTCTCTAGCATTCATGCCTACCAATAACTCAAGACTGTCTTTATGATTGCAGGTTCTTATTTCTGTCTTAGCAACTATAAACTTACAACTATAAATGTATACACTTAAACCTATAGCAACTTTATGATTCTGGGCTCTTATTTGTGTCTTAGCAACTATAAACATATTTATTCATCATTTAATGACCCATTTGTTTAATGACTGTTTGGATTTATGACTGAGTCGTGCTGTTTGGACTTACCACCCACTGCTGGGACTCAAGACTTACAGTGCAGAAATGTGAGCAGGAGTGTAGTCTTATGGTGACTCCTTCTACAGTACACTACTGTAACTTTTGCTGATTGTACTGTACAGTACAGTAGTCCATGTCCTGTTATACATTACAGTATTGCATGTAAAAGGTATGCAAATAAAAGTAAAGTTATCGAGTTGGAGTTTCCTATGACAATTTCTTTATTCTAAATACTGTAATGTACCTACTATATACAATTCCTCATTTAGTGGCCAATTCATTTAATGACCTAGTTGCAGGAACAGCCGTCTGTCTACTGTATATATTTGTAATATATATATTTGTATACACATGCATATACAGTAGCTATGTATTGCACATCTCTGCTATAACATTTCAATGCTGTTGAAATCAAGAACAATAGATTACTTGCTAATGTATCTTGAGCTATAATCAATTTCTGAGTGGATGAATATATATCATAATTACAAATGATTATTTTCTATGGGGAGAAATATGCATTACATCAAAAAAGTTCCCACTTAGCAAAGAAAACTATTAGAGTTATCTTTATATAGATAGAAATAGAAAATATAGATATATGAGGGGTTAATACAAATTATATGAATTTTAGAGATGTGACTTAAGAAATAGCAATCACTTCACAACTTATTTTTTGCTCCAGGTAAAAATATTATCTGTCCTTATCTTACTTACCTTATTCTTTCTAAATTATTCTAATACATTATTTTATTATTACAAATTGATTCCTAAAAATGCTGGATAGTTACTAGTATAGACAATGTTGCTCAAACATCTGTATGCTACTTTCATATTGTAGGTGTTAAATATTGATTAAAGATTGTTAAATACTGATTAAAATATAGCTTTCATTTTTCTACTCTGTTACTTCATATAATTTTAAGGATTATAAAAGGTATAAGGCATTTTAATGCCACTCAATTTAAAGACTGTCATTTACAATATTTAGGACTATTTTGCAGGTTGGTAGCTAGTTCCACGTATTGCAAACAAAGCAAAGCACACATAAAGAGGAAATCAGAGATCTTTAGACTGCACTTGATCATATTTTCTCATATTGTTATGATCTACAGACTATTTAAACTATTTCATTTCCCTTTTTCAGAATTCAGCTTTTTCCATTAGTTTTCCATTTTTCAGAATGTCATTGAGTTTCTTACGTATTTTATAGGTTTACTGTAGGTATTCTCTTTTAAAACCAGCAGCACCTGGCCAAAAAGTATTAACACACTCTCTGGGATTCAAATAACTTTTACCATCTACTTGGATAAACAAAGGTTTCACAATTAAAAATCATAATTACCAAAGAAGTTTGGCACCTATGGAACCTGAGCACTATCAATCAAGCAATAGGATAAGAAAATACCTTCATTCACCTAACTAGTCCTAATATAAGTGTCATTTTGAAATGGAAATCTTAAGTTAAATATATTACTTATGTTTTCAGGTGGATCATTTTCTGGTTACTACTAATTCTAGATATGTTTTTCACACCCAGAATAGTTAAGTAGCATTTTTACTACTTTTCTAAGTTAAGAAATATTAAAATTATCATACTTTTAAAAATAATTACTCTCCCTTAAATAGTTTATTCTATTCATACTTGGAATACTTCATCCTGATTTATACAAGCCAGTGCTCCTTCAATAATATTTAAATATTATTGAATAAGCATCACATATATTCCAGGGAACCTATTGTTTAAAATGCAACTAATAAGTCTTGTATAAAAGTAAATTCCTACAGTGCAAAGCCTACATCCTAATCTCATTTTGTCACAGTCTCTTTGAAGTTCAAATTTTCCTATACCTGCTGCAGTTAAAGCAGAAATTGAACTGCTGTCATTGGCATTAATAGCCTGCTACCAGACTGAGGTTAAATGAGAGCACAAAAAAGCTTCCCAAAGGACTGACTGTCTCAGAGTAATTTCACACACACACATACCCATTCGTGTGGGTACATTTGTCTCCCTAGGTAAGTACATGTAATTTCTCATGGGTCTACATTAAATCATTCACAGGGTTTCTAAAATAGATCCCCCATTGAGTTTCAGTGTTAGTCCCCTGATGCTAATATAATATAGCCTAAAATGTCCAAAGTGATGAAAATAGGGCAAAGGAGGAGATGAACGGAAGGCACCAATCCTTATCTAACTGATCCTCTGATTCTCTTAGTACTCAGCCTGTCAGAAAAAGATGGATGGGCAAGATATCATGTAATACTCCCCAACAGTATAGTTAGCCAATCTCACAGTGATAGCAACTGCTGTACATGTGGGTGGGGCTCAGTCATCATGGCATTGCTACGCTTGTTCTTTTTCTGGGCTATTCTCCTGCATCACTTATCTCCTGCCTAGTGTCACAGAACTCAGAAGAGAGGCAGAAGAACATAACTACCAGGTTCAAGCAAGGGGTCTCCCTTTCCACACATCATGGCACCACTGTCAACCCACAGAGAAAAAAGAAAGAGAGCTTTACCCGCAGGAAGGAGAGATCCCGGTTGTGCTCTATACTGGTGATCTCCAGGTTGCCCATGACCACCTCACAGTTCTCATAGTATTTTCGTAAGGCTCGGTACTGCTGTTCCAGGTCTGAGAGAGAGCTCAGTTTATTTTCTGTTCCTGCACACACTGTAAAAACAAAAGATACACATGAAGTTATAGAACCTTTTTAAGACACACACAATGAAAGTATACTCCACAACAGTCTACCTCAATCCCCTGAATTAAAATATTTCAAAGGATCCTAAATGCCATAGGTTCTCACACTGATAAATACCTTCACTTTTATATTCCCAAATTACACATGCGAGCCACAGTAAGAGGGAATATGTTCCACATAAACACTGTAAGTTTATCTTTTAAGAAAATAAACTTAAGAATTTAACTGCTCTGAGCATATGAAGCATATAAATGCATTTGCTTTCATTTAAACATTGTTATCCTTAGGATTTGTAATCTTTTATTTTTCTAGTAGAGTAACTGGACAGATATAAATAAATCACAATCAAGAGATAACAGTAACATTTTTGTTTTTTAAAATATTTGTTGTCTTTGTAAAATAAGCTGTTCTGACTAAATTTTTGGCTTAGTTATATGTCTGTAAGACCTGAACTATTCTATCTTTTCTAAAATATGTGTTAAACAACTTAGATTGAAATATTTTTCCATATACTACAAACAAGATAACAAAATCCAACGTATTTATATCAGCTGAGTCATCACTGTGTATATTCATGAGTGTTCTGAAATATAATGGACTAATAATAAATTTTCCCCGTCTGCCATCTTTGATGGTGTAGTCTTTAATCTGCTGTGAGCATGTGAGTATACATACCTATGTGTGTTTGTATGTGTTGATATTTTTGTTTTCTAGAGCCAGAGTTTAATTATTTCTCATGTTTTTATACCTATCTGTATACAATCTTTACCATAAAATATACTGACTCTAATCTTTGATAAAATTATATTACAACTCTTAGAATGTAAAGTTAAAATAGATTGTAAATAATCTTCCTTAAGTTACATAATATACACTGAATTCAAGACAAGATACAATGGGCACATAACTTCAAAGACACTGGGAACAGAAAACATGAGCCAAAACAAACATTTTCTCTTTGCAAATTGATTATCTTTAGTATTTGAAATAGTAACAGAAAGCTAACACTGTGACTATATTTGGAAAAGGTCTTTGTAAATGTGATCAAGTTAAGATGAGGACATCAAGGTGAGCCCTAATCCAATATGATATAGATCTCCTTTTAAGCAGAGAAAGATACCATGTGCATGCAAAAACACAGAGAGGAAAGCCCTAGAACTAAAAAGGTAGAGTTGAGTGATGCTACTGCAAGCCAAGGAATGCCAAGAAGTGACAGCCACTATCAGAAATCATGAAAATCCAAGAATTCTACCAAGAATCTCTGAGAGAATGTGACCCTGCTGATAGCTTGTTTTGGGATTTCCAACTACCAGAACCATAATAAAATAGACTGCTGTTGCTTTAAGCCATCTATTGTGACACTTCATTATAGCAGCTCTATGAAAACAATACATAGTCTTTAGATGATTTTTCTCTGAAATTCTACATTTAAATAAATGCTAAAAATTACTTCCTCTCTCTCCCTCTAGGGTCCTATCAGCTTATCATTTCCTATCTACCCTTCCTGTTCTCTCTGCTGAGTGCCAAGTCCCCAGATACCATGTGAAAATTCATTTGCTGCTTTTCAGAAAGAAGTTTTGTGCACTAATAATGATGGGTGCACTGGCAAAGACCTCTACAATCTGATAGGCATTCTCCTCTTCCTGGATCTTGAGAGACTGCATAATTTTCACCTGGCATATGGCCTCTGTGGCAGTTAGCCTGGACTGTTGACTTGATTACTTTGGGATGAACCTAGGGGATGGATGGAGCAAATTTCTGAGTGTGCTGGGATGGGTCATGGAGGTGTGGCCTTAGGGTCTAGGTCTGGTCCTTGGTCCCTTCCTCTCTGTCACTGTTCCTCAGTTCTGCTTCCTGGATGACATGAACTAAGTAGCTTTCCTTCACCCATCTACCATGATGTTTCTCCCTTGGAGCTAGCTGACCATAGACTGAATCCCTTAAAATAAAGGCCAAATTAGACCTTTACTCCTTTAATACTTGTGTCAGTTATTGTGTCTAGCAAAGGGAAAGTTGAAAAATATAGTCACCCAAAATAAAGATTACACTTTTTTCTCCTCTCCTTGGAAGTACATTTGTCCAATGGACTAAGCTCTTACATGTTGTGTGACACTTTCCAGAACATTATCTAAAGCATGGTCGAAGCCTAACTTTGCCTCCTTTATGCTTTCATCCAGCCTACTGCCAGGAATAGTGATATCACAGCTGAAAATGAACCATCATGTTGGTCCATAGTAAAGAGAAATATATCCTAAAGATGGCTAAGAAATAAGCTAAAAGTAGCAGGATTTTCAAACAATTGTTGTGTTCCATTGTCCTATTATTATTAACAGCAAGACGTTAGTGATGGTGGCCCTATTTGCTAACATAACTACACATAGGACAAAGGACCAGTAAATTCTAAATAAGTTATATGCTTTACATCTTAAGTAACTTTAGGTATTCTGTCTGGTTTGGGGAGTTTGTTCAATTCATAATAAAACTAAACTGGCTCCTGCCTCGAAAGCGCAAGGTCCCAAGTTCAATTCCTGGGTCCAAAAATAAATAAATAAATAAATAAATAAAACTAAAACTTTATTTTTCATCTTCTGAACATTTTATTGGTCCTGTAGAAGTTTCTCTTATTAAAACTAATAAATAAGAATAATACATTTTATTTTGAGAACTGCAATAATATTCAACACAAGCAAGAGGACATGAAATAATTGATTTGAGTACATATTCCTTATCAGTCAAGATCTAATTCCAGGATTATTTTTTCACTATATATTAGAGGCTCTCTGGGAAAAATACTTAGCCCAGATCTTTATTTTTTTGTTCTTAGAAAAAATTTTTAAAACTTTTTATAAACATAAAATATCTGTTCAGAAAAGGCATTATTATATTGTTTTATGAGACACAGATTTTAATTATTAACATAACCATTCCTGAAAATAAATAAAAAGCACACCCTTATAATCAATAAAGTTTATGCGCCATTCTGTAAACATATCCAATGTTATACTGAAACTTTTGTACAACTTATATTGTACTAGCTTCTTTGATCTGAAAGTAAAACTCACACTTTAATATAACATACTAAAAATTTACCATGTAATCATCTAGTTAAAAGATATCCAAAATGTTTAGTGTATTCTGACCTTTGCTATAAAAGCTAAGACTCAGCTTGGCAATCACATCCATTACTGTGATTGTAATACATAGATATTATTTCATGTTTCCCATTCTGCATGCAGGAAAAAGATATATAAAGTTATCTGAGTCTGAATAGTTTTAAGTTTGTGGTAAGTTCTCATTGTTGATGTTCATTCAAAACAACATTTAAATTCATAATGGACATAGTCTGCCCTATATTTTACTAATCTATTTACAGTATATAATACAAACAAAATGCTGTCAACACTTTGAAGACAGATGCAATACATTTGTCATTATTTTGTGTCTGCTGATCTATTATAGCACGTTTGCCAAGAAATTATCATTAAATAATATTCATTTATTTGATATTAAAGTAATTAAAATCAGTATTCAGAAATAGATCCTAAATTCAAAAAATATTTCACTGTTTAATAAATGATCAGCTGTGGTTTCTATAGTCCTTATTAAAGATGAAAAATTAGAATAATTATGTTTAAAAATATTTTTCAACAAAATTGATATCCTCCCATAAATAGAAAATCTGGCTAATCAAAATACTTTATTCACCAAACATTCTAATCTTTGGAGTCTTTTCTATAGACCATTCAATTTAGGAAATATTTTTTATCTCAGTAAGTCTTCCCTTGTATTTATGTCCAATTCAAAGTATCAAGAATCGATAGTGTATTCATCATAACTTTCATCTTGAAGGACAGACTGATTTTTAAAGAATTAGTTTGAACAGATGCATAAAAATCATTTGTACTTCTCTTCATGATGCCTTCACTGAATGTCTCACAACTTCCATTTGTCAATCGATTTTACAATCAGGCAATATATACAAGACAATGCTTAAGCCATTAAGTTTCATTGATTTCACAAGGCTGTTTATCAAAACAGAATTGAAAAATCTTCTTTAATGGCCAAAACAAGTTTAACAAAATTCATCCCCTTTACCAACACTATTATAAACTCCTTAAACTCTAAGCTTACAATATTTTCATCTTCAGAAAACCTAAATTTACATGTGCTCCCTAGAGCTTCCATTCCAAATGTAACTCCAGGAATGAGGCTATATGGAAAGCCTTAATAAAATCACCAACTATTCTATTTAGTATTGATTCAGTTACAAATGTAGCTATCCTTTCAAAAGACACGGGCCCTTCACTCTTATTAAGATTTACATCCAACAGTGAGTGTACTACATTGTCCTCATCCAGTTAAAAAATTAAGATTTACAAGTTTGCAGCAATATAAAAATGCTGGTTAACACAATTATTCATTTGGTTCATTCTCAGAAGAGAAACAAATGAAGAAATGTTATCCATATTAATATTAAAAATCAATTACTGTCTCCAGGCCTGCTATGGCTATGAAATCAACACTCAACTTGCTTACAAAGGGAAAAAATAAGGTGTATGTGGGGGGGAATAACTAAATCGGATTTTTGCCTATCACTCCAATCAAAATGGCTATCAGGAAATGTAAATAAAGAAGTACATAATTATTCCTTTAACATCTACTATTCACCTAGTATCATGGAAAAATATTTATTGGTAAAATTTGCAATGTTTTTTATAAAAGGTCATGCAGTTCTATAAAGGAAAGAAAGCAGCAAGCATGTACAGAATATCAAAGCCATGTATATTGTATGTGAATAATTCAGAAACTGCATAGAAACTATCAGCACCACCGTCACCTAAAAAAAAAACCTGATAAAATAAAATTTAATTTTTCTATGAAGCTCAACATTAATAAACACTTTCCCTTTCAGAAATGTTGACATAATAAATATGCTTAATGTTAATGCAGTTTGTTGAGCATTTAAAAC